GTAGCCATTTCCTCAGCGCTGCAGTTCGACAAGTCAATTCCATGTTCGAAAACAACGAATTACAGGACCCAACGTGAACATGAATACCGGCAAATCATCATGTGGCTATAGAAAAGAGGAGAAATTCAAGTGTAATAGCCTAATTGTATTCGAAAAAAGTTTCACTACTCACCATTAATTCCCAACCTTCATTTGATGAGGACAGCTTATCACGGGAGAGGACCAGAATATGCATATAGCAAGGACCTCTTAATGAGAGGGAGTAAGCCAATCTCGCCGAGGATGGGCATGGCTGTAGAGCCTTGTATTCCAATGACAGCTTGTAGATCCCGACTTGATGACTTTGCTTCAGCTCACACCGCAGAAAGCAACACCCTCACATTCCAGCTTTACCGCTGTGTTTGCATGTAACATGTCGAACGGGTTGGTTGTCACTACGCCTTTGTTAATCTCAATGTGACCGCATTTATCAAAGAAGGGTATAATGCTGTTCAATGACTACTTGTATATAATGTCTGTATCCCATGCTCTTGATGCTGTTACCCAAAGTGAGAGTCGTGAGCCGATCTGAGGTATTCGATGTGATGATTGTGAAGACCCAACGCCAACCAAGCAATGCTACTTAATCAGTCACCCCTTTTTTGTTTCCCACGTTCCAGATCCCAACCTCGTATGTGTTCGTTTGGCCGATGTATCTCTATCCTTTGCCCCTTGCTTACTGCAGCAAAAGTGCCTCGGTGTTTAGTACACCAAAAAGGTTCTCAACTTCTCTTTGTACGTATTCCAACTCCTGGGCGACCTGAGCTGTGACCAAGGTGTACGCGTACAACAAGGCATAGTCCTTCTCTTCAACAACGATGTCGTCCTTACTGTTGCCGTTGCTGTTCCCGTTGCTGTTCCCGTTGCTGTTTCCATTGCCATTCGGTTCCGCCCCTGGAGTGGACGGCTGCGTGGATGGATGGTGCTCTTTTCTGAACTGGTAGATTTTGCCCAGCAGCCGGTCCTTGTTGCCAACCACCGACGGAATGGCGTCAGTGAGCGGATACTCCAACATGATTGAGCTGGCGAGCACCTGGAATACGTGGCAGATACGGTCGCAAAGTTGAGCGCGCTCTGGGGCCGTGTATTCGAGCAACGCTTTCTCGCCATCCGACAGTTGGCCGCGTCTTGAAGTGACGAGTCTCATGGCATGGAAGCCATCGAGAATCTTGCTGGTAGACGACATGATGCGGGCATATGCCGCATCGGGAAACGGGCCTCGAAGCTCAAATTCACTCTTTGCTGCGTTACGCAAAGCCTCAAGTTTGGACGCTGTGATTTCGTCAGCGGTAGTCGACCGTTGTGAGTGCAAAGTTCCTACCGTAACGTTGCAGAGCCTGCTCTTCTCCAGCCCTCATGTAAGACCTTGTGTTGTCGCTTCGGAGCAAGATGGCTAGCGGCCCTCTCTTCCAGATAAGTCCCAACTGCAGGTAGAGCACAGAGAGACCCTCCTTGAATTTCTTCCTGCCTGAGATAGGCCAGATCGCACGACACACAATGATACCCCACAAGATACCAAGCGTGACGGCGACAAATCTGTGGTAGCAAATCTCGAACATCAAAGGGTTGGCGCCACCTTCATCGTCATCATCGTCCTCCACCTTCTGTGAGAGCGAGTATGCGTAAAGGACTGTGACGTTCCAGGCCAAAATCGTGATTCTACCGAAGGGGGCGTTGTTCTTCACCAACATCATGTAGAAGCAGAAAAAGCTCACCATCCAGCCGAAGAATGCAAGAATAACACCGTTACCTTGACTAATTGCCCAGGCCGTCATCGCGAATAATACTCCAGCGATAGTGCCGATGAACCTGGCAGTACCGGTAGTGTTGGCAGCGCCTACCGTCATTGACGCAACAATCATGAAAGACAACAGACCCCACTCGCCTCGCCAGTGTCGATATACATCTTTGGTTGCCGGAAGGAAAGCACAAGCTGCCCAGAGGGCGGCACCGAAGCCAACCTTGACACCAAAGCGAACTTGAAGACATGTTAGCAACGGCCTGCCTTCCGTGTATTATCTAGTTGACTTACTGTCATCACGGGACAAGACCCTGAGGAATTTGAGAATCACCTGCGAAAGCAGACGTAGGATCGTACTCGCATTCGGAGCAGCGTCCCAGCTGAACGTGTCTCTTCGTTTGATCATGGTATCCGGAATGCCTCTAGGCACGGCGGATTTTCTGAGAGGCCGGACAGGCTGCTCAGTCGCATCCATTGGCTGATGCAGCAGGCGCTCAGCATCAAGGTTGTTCGGGTCTGGTTCTCTTGGTGGCGAGGGGGTGTTCCAATACTTCCATGGCTTGAGCCAGTTCCAGCTGCGAGAGCCTAACTCCCTGTGGTACTTCAGCTCCTCGAGTGCTGTCAAGTAGGCATCGATATCTTCGGCAACGTGCTGCAAGCTGAAACTAAAGTGTCCGCAAGCAGCCGCGACCTCTTCAATATCTGCCTGGATCTTCTCCGATCTCGACCGCCCGAGCTCAATGCTAGTGTACAGTTCTTGGAGCGCGTTGGTCCTCGCATGGTTGTACAATGTCATGGCATCCTGCAAACTGTGCTTAAAGTGCGGGTTAACAGTGATCTTAGAGTCCGCACCAGCACCGAAAGCCTGCTCTCTGAGGATCTCCGAAAGCGTGTATGCTAGCGATTTCATAGAAGGCCCTAACAGCGCCATGAAGAGTTCGAAAATCTCGCTTGGTGATTTGAATGGAGGGAGAGGTGGTGGCGGCCCATCTGGTGTCGCTTCAGGGCTGGGGTGGTCGTCAATTTCGTCCTCAAATTCCTCATCCTCATCAATAGACGCCAAGGTAGCAAATCTGTCCCGGGAACCCTTCAGATACTGTGACATCGCACGAGAAAGTGTGGGGGAGAAGACAGTGCTGCCAGGAGAGAGCTGTCCAGCCATGGGATCTTGAGGCAGCTCCTTTAGAAGACTGAACTGCGTGTTAGCAGCACTCCTTAAGCCCCCGATAGCCTGCGACAGTGACTCAAGCGACTTGACTAGAGCCTTCTCCAGGTCGTATACCTTCTCGCGGCCCAAAACCCAATGCTCGAACTTGGACTCTCTAAGGCTCTTCGTCATCTTAGCATGAGTAGCCTTGTACTGCCTCACGACGAAGGCGAAGTCCCCCGACATGATCTCGTTCTCAGAGCCATTCAAGAAGCCGCGAGTGATCATGGCGAGCATGTCTGAGAGGGATACGGCACCGGCGTTCAAGGAGGTGCGCAACAATGCTCTCGCTGAGACTCTCCAAAGCAATAGGTTGACCGCCACGGCGATGGTGATGCCCATGACCAACATCTTAAGAACCTGAACTATCTTGGCCTCGGAGAAGTGCCCTTCATGAATCGCCTCTTCTCTGGTAATAACGGCAATAATGGCGATAGATGCAAGAGTACAGCCGACATTGACTAGCGGGTTATTGAGCCTCTGCTTGACCCAACCAACGAAGCCAAGACCGCCGCCGATGCAGAATGTGAGGATGAGAACATGCGACAACGGGATGAGACCGAGCTTCCCTCCGACGAGAACAGAGAAGAGCATGGAGATGACCGAGACGACTTCGGCGTACAAGATGGCAATAGTGGCGATGGCTGCGGCCTCGACCATGGAACCCCACGTCCGACTGGCGTGGAAATAGACCGTCAGAGTCGCGACAACGTGCTTTCCATCAGGCTTGCCTAGAAACGTCGATATCGGTGCAAGGAAGGTTGCCAGACTGGCGAGGAGATATGCGACGGAGCATTTCACCACTCCCTTGCCCGTCGGTGAAAGCAGCCAGTCCCAGAAGCGGGAGGCGCTGGTCTTGATATTGTGTTTGACGACATTGAAAGATTCGCCGGTCGTCTCGGCGGTCAGGAGAGATCGGTAGCCGTCGACTTCAGGAGAAGGGATTTCGATGCTCGAGCCACGGAGGGAGAATTGGCGGCGACTGCGTTCGCCGGTGCCAGGAACAATGAAGGTGCCGTTGCGAAGCTTCTGTAACGGTGGCGCATCATCAGCTGCAGACCTCTAGGGCCTGGTCAAGGGCCAGTGACAGAAGATGTACTCACGCTCCGCTTGGAAGGCCGCCTAGGAGGCCATTGGTTTGTGGCCGACGAGCTCATCACGGTTGGGTGTTGGCGCACCACCCAAATGCCCAGCCGTGTTGGAGCAGTCGTGGAGTTTTGTTGCGCCCAGACGAGCTTCGCGGGGGCTGCGCAAGATGCCGCTCGGTAAATAATCCTTTCCCTTGGCTCTGGAATGGTAGGAGCGTAAACAAGCTGGAAGGGTGGCGTTCCTAGCCGGTAGGTATATCGGCACGCAAAATGAGAGAGGAATAGGCAGAGACGCGCACACGGCTCACTAAGACAAGACAACAGCTTCCGCCAGATTCGCCGTCAGCTTCCAGCCTACTGCCAACTGCAAAGGCGACTATTAAACAACTCGACGGCCGAGCATCCGCGACACTGGTCAGGTCTGGTAGGGTCTGGTCTGGAACCTGAAGGAAAGCAACAGCTAAGGCAGGCGGTCCCTTAGCTGCAGCTCTTCTTACCCGCCGTGACCTTAAAGGCTGGAGCATGTCGCGTCGACCACTCAGAAGCCCAACGACCCATGTCACCTGCCCAGTGCAAATGTCTGGAGGATACGCGGACATCTCAATCATGCAGCACTGTGTTCCCACTCTTGTGTGTAGGAAGTGGGCGTGGTACGTCGACGAGTCGTGACATAAGGCAAGCCCAGGTACCTCTCTACTTTAAGCTAAGCTTCCTGACCTAGGTATCTTAGCTGCGGTACAATGACTCCAACATCCATGTCTAAGTTGCTGGCTATTCCAGATTGACTAAACAACTCACTCATTGTCAAGACACCCTTACGTTGCCGGCAGACAACGTTAACGAGTTTTTGCCGCCGCGGCCTTCTCATGAAGCTCTCAAGCCATCGGTGTTACACGAATTTCCTATGAAGAGGTTCATCTCCAGAATGGCTACTGTTACACCCCGCCGGTTCGCCCCGTTGAAGGATGGAGCCGCGGCCAACTCAAACGCCCCGCGGTTGAAAGGCATCGTCTTTGACGTTGACGGAACGCTATGGTACGTAACGTGGGAAACTCTCATCGCTTGTGTTCTCCTTCCGTTATTCATTTGCCTCGCAAACTCATCTCATCCTTTTATCGGCGTGTCACGAGACGGGACGTCAATCTTGGCTTTCTCACTTGATAAGCAATGGATTCAACCGTGACTTCAATGGCCAATGAGATCATCGTCCATCATGCGAGACATGAGCTTCACTGACAACATTAGTGAACCCCAAACATACATGTTCAAAGAAATGCGCGATGCTCTCAAGATTACAAAGTCCGTCGACATTCTTGACCACATTTACGCTCTCCCGACCCCAGAGGCCCAAGAAACGGCAATGGAGTCCATCAGACAGATCGAGAGGACTGCCATGGCGTCGCAGGTCGCCCAGCCCGGCCTCGTCGAGCTGATGTCTTACCTCGACAGCCGTGGTGTCCGGAAGGGCATCTGCACCCGCAACTTCGATACGCCCGTTACCCACCTCCTCGGCAAGTTCCTGGAAGGCTCCCTCTTTGAGCCAATCATCACTCGCGATTTTCGTCCGCCAAAGCCCGACCCTGCCGGTATCCTGCACATCGCCAAAAGCTGGGGGCTGGTCAAAGAGGCACCGATCGGGGCTGATGGTCAAGAAGCGCAGGGCGATGCGACTGAGCTCATCATGGTAGGAGACTCAATCGACGACATGACGGCTGGCCGAAGAGCGGGCGCGGCGACAGTGCTCCTCGCAAACGACGTGAACGTGCATCTGGTGGACCACGAGCATACCGACCTCGTAATACGGCGCCTGGATGAACTGATTCCTATTCTGGAGGATGGATTCCACAGCAGAGAGACTGGAGCTGCATAGTGAGCTAGTCGTCCACAGGACAGATCTCGGCCGCATCATGCAGCCTGTTGTTGGCGAGGGCTACCAACGACGCGGTGATATCACATCAATGTGATCCAGGCACAGGACTGCTCAAGCATTTGTGACTTTGTCTAGATAGCATGTACGCCCACAATGAAAAACCTTCCTCCAAGCTTGCTACATACATGATTCCCTACGTGGGACTTTGACAAAACCCCTCCCCTCCTGGTCACGGTTGGTCGACGCCGCTCTGTCCAAGCTTTCTAAAAAGGCTGAATCGTCGGGCGTCTTACAACAAACGACCGAGTTTGCAAGAGGTTGATATCAATACATGCGCCTAGTGATGCAGAGAAAGACCGGAAAATCCTTTTGGTTTCGCCCAGACCGACTGCTGGACCGCTGAGGTATGTCGGGACCTTAGATAAATGGATCCTCCAGGCCGATGACGTTGTCTACACGCGACGTCCTGCGACCTCTGACACCATTCTGTGGGAGGCGTTGAGAAGGGTAGATTGGAGCTGAGGCGAGGGGTCGTTCTACCTGATCTTCAGATGCTGGTCGGAAGGCCGTTTGCATGGGCATGCTGCAGGACTTCGGACCTTGGTCAACAGACGCTTCTAGTTGTTGTAGCGAAACAACACGGTTTGGCGCTCTGCTATGCTGTGCTTTCGCTTGGGGTACCCGTGGCCGAGCGCCGCGAGTGTAGTTGAAGCCTCCCCGTGCCTAGTTGGAAGTACCGTTGTACACATCGCTCGCGTAGCTTCGGGGTGCTGGCGGCATGCCGAATGTGGCTTGTCTTCTGCTCTCTCTCCTGGTCTCATCTGGGGTGCCCTTCCGAGGAGGGGCTGGCGGCAGCGGACCACCAGGGGCAGGACGAACAGGAAGGCTGAAAGATGCAGCATTGGCGCTCACAGGGCCAGCACTGTTGGGATATTCGCCGACCTTGGGGATCGGATTGGTCGTAACAATCCGCTGTCCCATCCCGGGGTGACCAGCCGCCTGTTGTCGGCTGCTGATGGCGTTGACGCCGTTTCTGGTGGGGGAGCGGTTGGAGTGGGTGGCAGGTTCGCGCGGAGAAATGATACCAGCTCCCGCGATGGGAATCTCTCCTGACGTCGGCGTGTCAAGCGAGCGATCGTTTGTAGATCCGCCCTGATATGTCGGGGAGTCACTGGAATTCAGGAGGTCTCGAGTCGCGGGAGAAAGCTGGGGCGCAAGGTGAGACTTTCTGTTGTCCCTCTCCATCAAACCAACAGCCCATTCCCTCAAGTCTACGGGGGTTCGCTTGGCAGCTTGAACAAAAGGATCCCGGTCCTAGCACATATGCGATTAGCTGGAGAAGCCCACGTCAGCCAAGGACTAGACTTACAAAAAGTTCCTGAGGGGTAGGTCGCTCGTCGGGGTTCTTGAAAAGACACTTCTGAATCATATCCTCCAGAATGGAGGGGAAAGCATCGCTTTTGGGTAGCTTGGGCGCGGGTTCGTGTACAATCTGCTGTAACAGATCCAGAATGCCAGCTGGGGCGCACTCGCCGTCGGAAAGCTGCTCGCTCGCGTTGAATGGGAACTTGCCAATGGCAAGCTCCATGATACTCAGACCAAAACTCCACACGTCGGATTTGACAGTGTACTTCTCGCCTTGAATTCGCTCAGGAGCCATGTATGTCGATGTTCCAACGAATGTGTCTGCGACGGAGTTGATAAGTTCTCCAGACACACCGAAATCGCACAACTTGATACTTCCTCTCGAGTTCACCAGAATGTTTGACGGCTTGATGTCTCGGTGCATGATATGATGCTTGGAGTACAGGTAGGTCAAGCCGCCGAGGGTGGCCACAGCAATCTTGCCAAGAACGTCTACTCGGACTGGGCCGAAGACCTTGGATACCCGATCTAGCGCGCTGTGCTGAGTTAGCATGCATCCTCCGCCCTACCAAGGACTATAACATACCCGACATCCATATACTCCATGCACATGATGACATCGTTGTGAGGGTTCAGAAATGCGCCGTAGAAATTTACGATGTACTCGGATGAGCAACCGTGCATAATCTGAAGTTCGCGGACAATGCGCTTGCGCATCTCCTTCTTGGCTTCCACGTGGATGACCTAGAGGCGTCGATCAATACCGGTTGCTGCATTCCTCTCCAAGTGATGACTTACCTTGCGAGCCATGACAGTCCCAGTCAACACGTGCTTGACCTTGCTGACAGTGCCTCCATTTCCGGACCCAAGCTCCTTCAAGATCTCCAAGTCCTCCGGCCGCAAGTCCAGCTTGTACTCGATGCCAATCTCCAACTGCGCTGACTGCTCCCCGCTATCTTTATCGCGGGGATCATAGCCATGTCTGCTGGTTTCGGCAGTCGGTGGGGGTTTCGGTGCAGCAGGCGTCAGGGCGAGGCCCTTGACGTTCTTGCGCTTCATGGACCGGGGCGCGAAGGGGTCGGCCATTTTGGGAGTGAAGCTTTCGCTGTGTGATTCGTGCGGCGAATGACCAAGTTTGAAGATGAACAGAACCAGCTCAAGTTACAACGAAAAGGCCGTTGACATGCCCTTCCGTTGGGGTATGGATATGGACCGAGCAAAGAGCTACCCTGAGAATCCGCCGTAGGATTGAAGAGTCGCGACCATATGTTGGGGCGCGCTCGTAGAATAAGACGGCGGCAAGATGAGGTTCCGGCGACGGGGTAATCGGGGTCGTCGGGTGAGGATCGGGAACGAGAGAGAGAGGCGGCGGATGGGCGTTTGGCAACGGGAGAACGTTGCTATCGCAGAGTCGCAGAGGCCGAGTGGTGGGTTTTAGTATCTCGCGGTGGACCGGAGCGATCGATAGATTCCGAGGTCGATGACTGCCTGCAGAAAGGGGGAAAGAGGGGCGTAGATGGCTCGAAATTTGTCGGTGTGGTTGTCGTCGATGGTGTCCCGTCCCGTTTCGGCCAAGGTGGGGTTGGACGGCGTGGTAGGGAGGCGACTCCGAGGAAGAGCGAGGGGGGAGGGGTGGCGAGCGAGAAATAGGCAACGTGCTCCGTGGTCTTGGGAAAGGAGTTAATGAGACCTCGTAGACGCAAATGAGGTTGCTCTCGATAGGAAAATAGGCGGTACGTGGGTCGGGTCTGGTTGGTGAAGGAGGAGACGGGGAGGGGAGGAGGGGAAGGGATGGGGAAAAAAGATGGAAAGGGTACACAGCAGAAACAGACGACGGAAACAGATGCAGAAGTGAAAGGGAAGAAAAAACACTGGAGCGTTCAGGATTCGGATTGGACTGGACTGGGCTGGTGGGAGTAGAATGGGAGAAGACTGGCCCGGTCAAAGGTTCCAGGCTTGGTTTGCTTGACACACAAACATCCAGTCAGTGACCAGCAGTGAGATGTGCCTCTCAGTGCCCAATGCGAAGTGCAAAGTGCAGCAGTGAATGGGGAGAGGGGAGCTGGTGCAGAGGGGCAGAGACGCAGAGATGCAGAGATGCAGGAGTGCAGAAGTGCAGACTCGGGCGCTGGTTGGTGCTCAGGCTGCTGCCGTGGAGGCGAGCAGGTGCAGGTAAATCCAGGTCCAGGTTCAGTGTGCGGATGCAGCCCACCAAAGAGCCACGGTCCAGTCCGGTCCCGTCCACTTAGTCTGCTTTAGATGGCACCTAAAGTAGGCATTGCCATGTACTCTGCGCCTATCCATCGTCTTACACTGGTCCCCAGCATGTCTGGCGGACAAATCAACGCCCAGGGACGGTTTCGGATCACACGAAGCCTGCTGTTGTTGTGCCTTCACAACCCAAGCCCCAAACTCCCAACTTTCCAAGGTCTGCGCCGATGGCGGATGCGATGAATACCTTCTATTACCTTACCTTACCTACCTTCGAGGTTGCCTTGGATACCCGACCTCCTTCCTCCCACAGCATCTTAGCACCAGTCTTGACGGGCCACAGCCCAGCACTAGACCGGGCCAGTGTTTTAAAGGCGTCAAGACCCAGCCCCGGAGTACGGGATAGAGGTAACTTGACGCACGTTTTAGGGCCACAGTGGCAGCCAAACGCTTGAATCTCTAGGGGGCCCTGTAGAATCGTGGGGCCACTAGTGAACATTCGCGACGGACAAAGGTGGACATGCATCCTCTGCTATTTTGCAGTGCCCAGGGAAGTACCTTCATCTAAATTCCGACGTCGACGGCACGTTTTCGAGATGCCCGCTTGAAGTACCTTACCTCACCACTCGTGCCTTGTCTTCCGTACGGCTGCCCTTTGGCCAATCTTTGTCAGTCTGCCAACGACCGTCACTCCTGTGGCCACACCTAGCCAGCCTGTCAGCTCGTCGGCGCCAGTAGCAGGCTTCGGATTGGGCTACGACACCCGAGAAACACGCCCGGCCGCATCAACCCAACTCTTTCCTTCCAACGACGTACGACCTCGTCATTTGCCTGTGTGCCTGACAGCCAGTTGAATGCTTCCCGGCGACAGACGGCAAACGAAGTGAGGCAGAGAAGGCGACAGAAAGATAGAAGATCTTGTCTGGAGCGCCAACAGAGACTTCTACCGTCTCTCGTCTAAGAATACCACCCACCTCGTCCAGACGTTGAAAGCAGATGTACATCGTCTTCTTTCACATTTCAGATAGCTCAGTCCAACCCAATCCTGTGGACTTCTCCATCACCCTCCCAACCCATCACACCAACCTCCTGGCTTCAGACAGGGGCCTAGTCGTCTGTACGTTGAAAGCTGGGACTTGGACTGATGCGATGAATCGCTTCGAGCCAACGATGGCAGAGAAATTCCACTTCTCCCGCACCGGGGCCTTGAATCGCCAAACGGGCTGGTGTCTCAGTGTCTCGCCGCCCGTCCTCATTGGCCCCTCACCCCCAACCAACCCGTGCGTCTGTGTGTATGACCTGCTTCCCGACGGGCTCCATCTGGTTGCCCAAGCGCGAAAAAACGTGCTATCGCGGGCTGCACGATGGATCCGTGGCTCGCTTGTCGCTGTTGGCTGCAATGTGCTTCCCTGTGACGGCGCTGT